CACCACTAACAGGGTGCTGCATGGGAACAAAGTGTAGGCCCAGAACCTGGAGTTCAGGTCACTCCTCCTTCCAGTCAAAGTCTCTGTCCCTCCCAGGTGATTCCAGCCTCATTCCTCCATGGGCCACATATCCTAAACAAAGGCCTGGACAGGGGGTCTTTACTTAAGTGCCCAAAAACACAAGCAGAAAGGCTCTGCATGCCCCCGTGGCCTGCCAGAGGTAAAAGCCTGGCCGTCAAAATGCACAATCCTGGTTCTTGCAGGAAGGTGAGAAGCGGAGGAAGAAAAAATCCATCTCATTCTTTTAACAGGAACCTAAACTTGGGAAAGCCAGACCCAGTACATTTCTTAATCCTGATACTTTTATAACTGGTTACAGCGGGGTCACAAGCACAACTGTTTTCCAACATCTTTCAACTGGCCATATGACACCATGTGATTTATTTTTTTCTTTTTCTTTTTTAAGGCCAGGGGGAGTGACTCACACCTGTAACCTCAACACTTTCAGAGGCTGAGGCAGGAAGACTGCTTGAGGCCAGGAGTTCGAGACCAGCCTGGGCAACATAGCAAGACCCCATATGTAACAGAAAAACCCTGTCTCAAAAAAATTTTTTTTCAGTGCAGTGGCATGATCACAGCTCACCATAGCCTCCAGCTCCCGGGCTCAAGCAATACTGCCACCTCAGCAGTTGGGACTCTCAGAGCACACCACCACATCTGGCTGATGTTTTAATTTTTGATAGAGGTGTTGTCTCACTATGTTGCCCAGGCTGGTCTTGAACTCCTGGCCTCAAGAGATCCTCCCAGTGTGACCTCACAATGCACTGGGGTTACAGGCATGAGCCAACATGCAGCCCCTGCAAAATCTGTTCTCCAGGTGCTTCTTTTGGACCTCCTAGCTAGACTGCCATTGGCAAATACTAGTTTATTATTTTCCCACACTTATATTAATGGATTTCCCATGTTTTATTTATCTAGACTAGGGTTTCTCAACAGCAGCACTATTGACATTTTGGGCTGGATAATTCTTTGTTTGGAGATGTTTGTGTCTCACAGGATATTTAGCAGCATCCCCAGCCTCCGTCTGCCACATGCCAGTAGCACTCCTCAGTGTGACAGCCAAAATGATTTCAGATATTGTCAAATATCCCCAGGAAGGCAAAATCACCTCCAGTTGAGAACTGCTGACCTAAAAACCTCTGGAACAATGTTAGATCATGGTAATGATAGCACATACTGCTCCTCACCTTAATGGGAATACCTCTAGCATCAAAGTATAGTAGCACCTGTATACTACTGTCTGGGCTGTTATTAGTACACTGTATTAGTCCATTCTCACACTGCTATGAAGAAATACCCCAAACTGGGTAATTTATAAAGAAAAGAGGTTTAAGTTGACTCACAGTTCTGCATGGATGGGGAGGCCTCAGGAAACTTACAATTGTGGCAGAAGACACCGCTTCACAGGGCAGCAGGAGAGAGGAGAGCCGAGCAAAGGGGAAAGCCTGTTATAAAACCATCAGATCTTGTGAGAACTCACTCACTATCATGAGAACAGCATGGGAGAAACTGCCCCCATGATTCAATTATCTCCACCTGGTCCCACCCTTGACCTGTTGGGATTATTGCAATTCAAGGTGAGATCTGGATGGGGACACAGAGTCAAACCATATCATATCCTTTATATTAGCATACTGTATCAAAGTAGAATTTTCTTTCTTTCTTTCTTTCTTTCTTTCTTTCTTTCTTTCTTTCTTTCTTTCTTTCTTTCTTTCTTTTCCCGCCTTTGAGACAGAGCCTTGCTCTGGCTCTGGCTGGAGTGCAGTGGCACGATCTCAGCTTGTGGTAACCTCTGCCTCCTGGGTTCAAGCAATCCTTGTGCCTCAGCCTCCCAAGTAGCTGGAACTACAAGTGTGTGCCACCACACCCAGCTAATTTTGATTTTTTTTTTTGAGTACACATGGGGTTTGACATGTTGTCCAGGCTGGTGTCAAACTCCTGGCCTCAAGTGATCCCGCCACTTCAGCCTCCCGAAGTGCTGGGATTACAGGTGTGGGCCACTGCACCCAGCCTGAAGTATAATTTTCATAATATGAAAAGTTTGACTTTCACACAAATAATGAAGGAATATGTATAAGATATTTTCTTTAATTTACAAGGGAGTCAGCAACACGGTGAAGCTAGTTCAAGGAGTGTTTTGAGGGACAGTGTCTGCAATGCTCCAGGAAGGGCATTCTGAAATGCATTCTGAAATAGAGACAAAACTTGTTAATATCCTAAAGGGAGTTTGGGCGTGGTGGCTCATGCCTGTAATCCCAGCACTTAGGGAGGCCGAGATGGGAGGATCACCTGAGGTCAGGAGTTCAAGATCAGCCTGGCCAACATGGTGAAACCCTGTCTCTACTAAAAATACAAAAATTAGCCAGGTGCGGTAGTGGGTGCCTGTAGTCCCAGCTACTCACGAGGTTGAGGCAGTAGAATCGCTTGAACACGGAAGGCAGACACCGCAGTGAGCCGAGATCATGCCACTGCATTGCAGCCTGGGTGACAGAGTAAGATTCTGTCTCAAAAAAAAAAAAAAAAATCATATTGGGAAATAAAACTGTCCTCTTTGGGAGTTATCTTTCCTACTGGACAGAAATCTGTAAGTTAACTTATATACATATTCTCCAGTATATTCATAACATATTCTCTAGTATATTTCCCTACACTAGTGGTTTTCAAAGCATGTCTCAAATTGGAAGCATCAGCATCACCTGGGAACATAGACATGCAATGCTCAGGCCCCACCTCAGTCCTACTGAGTTAGAAACTCTGGTGTGGGGCCCAGCAGCCAGTTTCATAAGCCCCGCAGGTGATGATGACACACTCTAATGTGTCAGGATCGCTGCTCTAAATAGTCAAATAATCTTTAATTATAAAATAAGTATCTATGAAAAATGCTACAGTATGACATTAAAAGGGCACACCACCCACCTTTAACTTTATTTCTAAATTTAAATATTTTGTCTGTCTGATGTTAAATTTGCTGTTTTGTTTTTCAAATACTAAGACAGTTTTCATCTCTTCCTAATTATCTCTTTTTAAATAAAAAGTGGTTTTCCAAATCTATCCATTTTTCTCTTCTTTAAGCTACTGATAGGATGAAACTAAAGTTGAGCCATTCTTCTGTGTTTTGTTTTGTTTTGTTTTGTTTTGTTTTGTTTTTTCATACAGAGTCTCACTCTGTCGCCCAGGCTGGAATGTAGTGGTGTGATCTTGGCTCACTGCAATCTCCACCTCCCAGGTTCAAGTGATTCTTGTGCCTCAGTCTACTGAGTAGCTGGGATTTACAGGCACCCGGCACCACGCCCTGCTTTTTTCTTTTTTCTTTTTTTTTTTTTTTAGTAGAGAGAGATTTTGCCATTGGCCAGGGTGGTATCCCACTCCTGACCTCAGGTGATCTGCCTGCCTCAGCCTCCCAAAGTGCTAGGATTATAGGCATGAGCCACTGCGCCCAGCTTTTTTCTTTTTCTTTTCTTTTTCTTTTTGAGATGGTCTCCTTCTGTTGCTCAGGCTAGATGGAGTACAGTGGTGCCATCATGGCTCACTGCAGCCTCCACCTCCCAGGCTCAAGAGATCCTTTGACCTCAGCCTCTTAGGTAGCTGCGACAACACGTGTGCACCAGCACAAGTGGCTAATTTTTTGTAGAGACTGGGGTCTCCCTATATTGCCCAACAAGGTCCAGAATTCCCGGGCTTAAGTGATTCACCGGCCTTGGCCTCCCAAAATGCTATGATTACAGGTCTTATGTTCTTAAAATTTTTCATCGACATGGTATAGGATAGTCTAGTAACTTGACATACTGTTGTTTTCAAGGGGCTACTGCTTGTGATTTGTAAAAGAACTCTTCAGAAATGAGCTCAATTTTACCATGAATTGGGACACTTTCCATTTCTTTCTATTCTATAGAGCAGTTTACTTGTCATGAGCTCTGTCTTTTGAAAACCTGAAAGCCTGCAACAATCAAACCAGCTGCACCTGGTGCATGGGATGGGCATGGAATTGAGGACAGAGCTCAAACTACAGTCAGCCCTCTGTATCCTCGGGTTCGGGATCCCTGGGTTTTACCAACTGTGCACCAAAAATACTTGGAAAAAGTAAAACAATAAAAAACAAACATTTATAAATACTTCATAACAGGTATTTACAAAGCATTTATGTTGTATTAGGTTTTATAGTAATCTAGAGATGATTTAAAATCTACAGACGGATGTGTATAGGTTATTTGCAAATACTATGCCATATTATCTCACGGACTTGAGCATCGGTGAATTTGGTATCTCTGGGGTGTTGGAACCAATATCCTGAGGTTACTAAGGGATGACTCTATTCAATTCCTTGTCTGGTTATTAGTCTATTCTCTAATGTATTTTTGTTGTTGTTTTGGTCTTTTTGTTTTTGCCTCTTCAAGTCAATGTCAGAAACTTAGTTGTTCTAGATTACCCATTAGCTCAAAGCTACCAGTAAGCTGACTACCACTGCAATCTAAGCAACCGAATTTTTTTCCCCATCAGATTGGCAAAAATTAAGAATCTATTGATGTTGAAGCTTTAGGGAGTTTTCCTGAGCATGTTAATTATGGCAGCCCTTTTTGTTAGGCACCTAGACGACTCATCAAAATGAAATAAAATACCCATGCACTTGAAGAAGTTATCTGGTTATTTCGTTATCTGGGTGCTGGTTATGTGAGGTCTACAGTTGATGAAAACTTATTAATCTTTATATTATAATAGGTACAATGTTCTGTATGTGTAGTAGATTTCAATAGTTTTTAAAATGTCTTTTGCCACAGCCCGCAGCTGTGTATAATGCTATTCGCTTAACAGTGGAAAACGTGGCAATGACCTGAATCCCACTGGCTCCCAAGATCCTACCACCTTAAGTTAAACAAATGAAATAACTCCCACTGTCAGTTAAACTGGCGGTGGGCGCTGGTTTTTTTCCACGGAAGGATTCTGGGAGACGAGGAGGAGACGCCAGCTTTTCGCCCCGGCACCTCCAGGGGGCTGCGGTCGGCTCTCAACCTCACTGGAGCAGCCCCCGCCCTCCCAGAGTCCGTTAGTCCAAGTCACCTGATCGTGGAATCAGCTGACCCCATGCGACTGGAAAAAGAAATTCCCGGGCCCTGGCTTCCTGGCGCGCCCTCTCCGCAAACACAGTGTGTGCGAGCGTGGGGGCTGTGGGCGTGGTAGAGAGAAGTCCACCGCCATCTGGCTCCCAAGAGGGGGGCGGGGGCGTGGGGGGGCGGGTAAGACAGAGCAGGCCGGCCAGCTCAGAGTCCCGGTGCTTCCCTGGCTGAAGCACCATCCATCCATCCTTCCATCCATCCCTGCGTTCTAAGCACCTAGTCTCTACCATGAAGTGTGCTAGGCGCTGGGAGGACTTGAGCTGCCGAGGGAAGGGGAAATCGGAGGCTTGAATTGGCAGTCATAGTTAAGGCTCCAGGGGCGGAGACCTAACTGAGCCTTGTGTGTACATTCAAGGCGGATGGCAGGAGCTGGCTGGCCGAAATACAGTTTGTGTACCAGGGTTGGGAGGCAAGCTTGGGAGGCGTGTGTCTTCAGACAGGGAACAGCACGTGCAGAGACCAGGTTAGAGAGAGCATGGCTCCCCAGGAATGAATGCATTTCCCATAGCTGGGAGAGTATCATCTGGAGGTTAGGGAAAGATGAGGTTGCATAAGTAAAGATCAAATCTTCCTGGCTCTTGGATCACCACAATCAAGATAATGAACATCTCCACCGGCCACCAAAATTTCCTTGTGTGAGGGGCTATTTTAGGAAGTATGATCAAGAAGAGCCGGCCTGGCGGGGTGCAGTGACTCAGGCCTGTAATCCCAGCACTTCGGGAGGCTGAGGTGTGTGGATGAGCTGAGGTCAGGAGTTCGAGATCAGCATGGTCAACATGGTGAAACCCTGTCTCTACTAAAAATACAAAAAAACCGGGTGTGATGGTGTGTGCCTGTAGTCCCAGCTACTTGGGAGGCGGAGGCAGGAGAATTGCTTGAACCCGGGAGGCAGATGTTGCAGTGAGTCAAGATTGTGCCATTGCACTCCAGCCTGGGAAACAGAGCAGGACTCCGTCTTAAGAAAAAAAAAAAAGAGGGGCTGGTCTGATGAGGGGTCACTTGAGCAGAGAGTGGAATGAAATAAAGAACAGCAAGCCACACAGTGCGCAGCAGGAAAGGATGGTGGGAGCAAAACTGGTGTCCCTGAGCAGCAGCAGGGAAGCCAGAGCGGCTGGACTTGTGTGGGTATGGGGAAGAGGGGAGAGAGGTCACTCGTCTCTGTGAGGCACAGGACTTTGTTTTATTCCCTGCTGTATCCAAGTGCTTAGAGTGGGAAGTAGCACAGAGAAGTCCCTCAATTGATGTTTGCTGAGCAAACGAATGCCTGGAGTAGACCTCAGAGCAGGGTTTGGTGGCAGGGTGGGTCAGGGAGAGAGTTCACTGAACAGCCTGGTGATAGGGGAGAACAGGTGGCCAGAGGGTATCCATCTATGATGGGGACCAGGGGTCCCTGCTGGGCAGCAGTGTGGGAGACACACGGATCCTGGCCACACCTCAGTCCTCCCACCAGCCTGATTACCTGCCCCCTTCCCTTGCAGAGGTTCCAGTTCTGTGGTGATCTGGACTGTCCTGACTGGGTCCTGGCAGAGATCAGCATGCTGGCCAAGATGGTTGAGTGCACAGGGTCTAGTCTGGGTGGAGGAGGGGCGCTGGGCTGGGGATTTTGGGTGTAGATGATGGTGAGTTTTCTCTGGGGTTAGGGCCTCAGTGCTGTCAGCCTGTGCTACCATGCTTTGTGACCGTGATCAGCGGCTGGCCTGCTCTGAGCCAGTCCCCAGGAAGGAGGGGTGAGGTTCACCAGCCTGGCTGATGTAAGGACTTCCCTTCCAGTCCTCTGTGAAGTTGCAGCTGCTCTGCAGCCAGGTACTAAAGAGCTGCTGGGATGGGGGAATGATGTGAGTACAAGACCCAGCACCCCATTGTCCCATGACCTTATGACCCCCAGTGCCCTGAAGCTCTGCACTAGGCCCGGGGAGATGGGTGACCCAGCCTCGAAATCTCTCTGGGCACCTCCCATACTTCTTTCCAGCCTGTCTGTTCTTATTGCAGGATCCAGGCTGAGGGTGAGGGGCTGGTGAATAGGCTACTGGCACCCTCTGAAGGTCTCCTTTCCCCATAGTATGAGAAGATCCTGAAGCTCACAGCTGATGTCAAGTTTGGTGAGTACCCTGCTGAGTCCATAGGCCCCAAGCAACCCTGGGACTTCAGCCTGGTGCCTGGTACAGAGGGGCCCTCTGTACCCACCCCTCCCAGCAGCATCCTTAACTTACCTTCCCTAGTGGAGGAGCATGAGGGAAAGAAAGACAGTGACAGTCCCACCTTCCTGTCCTCTGCCAGCTCCTGGTGGAGCAGGAGCAGTGCCTGTGGCTTCAGCAGGCCTGGGAGCTTTGTGCTGAAGTAATAGGGCAACTGGGAGGTGGCTGGGGCCACAGTGACACCCCCTGTCCCACTCACGTGTCCATCAGAGTCAGGTGATGTGAAGGCCACAGTGGCAGTGCTGAGTTTCATCCTCTCCAGTGCGGCCAAGCACAGTGTCGATGGCGGATCCTTGGCCAGTGAACTGCAGCAGCTGGGGCTGCCCAAAGGTATGGGTTGTGGGTGGGCAGCTGGGCAGCCTGTGTGGGCTAAGGGCTGCTGCTAAAGCCCTGTGACCCTGAGGTGTACTCTGCCTCGTCTGGGCCAGGAACCCAAGCCAAGGCCCCCCCTGCTACCTCCAGAGCTACTCCATTCTACCCCCAGAGCAAGCGGCCGGCCTGTGCCGCTGTTATGAGGAGAAGCAAAGCCCCTTGCAGAAGCACTTGTGGATCTGCAGCCTACGCAGCAAGTATGAGGCCAGCCAGGGTCCAGGCTCCTTCTAGAAGGTGCATGCAGCACAAAAGTGCATGGAGAGTCCAGGGAGACAACTTAACCATGGTCACATACCAAGCAGCTGCAGAGCTGGGACCTGGCCCTGGCTCTCCTGACTCTGCGGGCTGTGGATTTGTACCTACAGGATCAGACCTTGCCCTTTCCTCCTGGCTGACCCTTCCCTAGTCCCCTGTGCCCCATGTGTGAGCACCCAGCTCACTCTTATTCCTCCCTCTCCGAAACGTGGTCCCTGGGAGCACCAGGGGCAAAAGGGGCAGCAGAGACTGTGGACCCCTCAGCTGCACCTAAGACCTCTGTGTGGTCTAGCTATGTGTGCTGGGGGAGGCTTTTGGCCATCATTTCCCCCTCTGTAAATGAGACCGATACCTGTGGCATGGAGGGCGGGAGGCCGGTGTGAGTGACAAGCACTTGGAGCAGGGCCCTGAGTGAGCATGGACCTGGAAACGGGTGTTCCTTGACTTTATGCACCTTGGGAATGGGAGTGGGGCTCCCTGCGTGGGTTGACAGTTCATTGCTTTCCCCCACTCTGCCTCTTTCCCAGCCCTGCAAGTCCAGTCATTGGGGGGTCCAGGAGGGAAGAAGCCCCGGGGTGTGTGACTTCGGGCTGGTGCCTGGCCCTCTCTGGCTCTGAGTTCCTGGGAACATCAGCACCCAAGCCATGCCCTCAAGTTTATCACCTTGACAAGAAAGGAGGGGACACTGGGATCAGGCCCACCCCCCTGGCCTTAAACCCCATGGCCCGAGCTGGAGGATGAGGAGGTGCTGGGCTTGGATGGGGGAATCAGGGGTGTAAAGGGATCTCCTCGCCCCTCAGCTTGGCTCAAAGGCTCGAGGCATCAATGGTTGAGCCTGCCCCTCAGGAAGCAGCCCGGGCCCAGCCAGACACTCACCAGGACGAGGGCAACTCTGACGAGCAGGAGGCCCAGGATGAGGAGAGCTACGGCATAGCTGGAGATGAAGATGCCCAGCGGGCTGGAGGCTTTGGGGCCAGGAGTGCCTAGAGCAGAGCTAGAAGACTATGACCAGGTGGAGCCCTGCCTCCCAGACTTCTGAGAAGGCAGAATCTGGGCCCAGAAGGTGCTGTGGGACCAGAGATCTGGGGCTAGGAGCATCTTGGAGGGCTCCATGAGGAGGGGAGGCAGGCTTCAGATCAGGGCATGTGGAGTAGGCAGATGGACAGAGGGAGAGGGCCTGCAGAGGGAAGGAGGTACTGACTGAGGTCTGGGATGACGGGTGTGCAGACGCTGGTGCAAACAGTCCCAGGAAGCTTTTACTCCTGGTGGGAGGTGGAGAGGGAGCAGGCCTGTCACATGGTGAGAGAGGAAGAAAGAGAGAGGAGGCATCAGGCTCTTTTAAACAACCAGCTCTCCTGTAAACTGATAAAAAACTCACTCACTGAATCACTTGAAGCTGGGAGATGGAGGGTGCAGTGAGCTGAGATCGCACCACTGCACTCCAGCCTGGGCTGTGAGTGAACTCTGTCTCAAAAAAAAAAAAGGAAAAAAAAGGAAAAAAAAAAAAGAAAAAGAAAAAGAAAAAACATAAGAAGAAAACTCACTCATTACCATGGGGAGGGCACTAAGCCTTTCAAGAGGGGTCCCCCACCATGACCCAAACACCTCACACTATAGGCCCCACCTCCAGCATTGGGGATCACATTTCAACACCAGATGTGGATGGGACAAGTATCCAAACTATGTCAGAGGCCTCCCCCTCCCTCTCATCAGAGTCTTCTGTCCTCAGTTCAGGTGCATGCTGGCCTCCATGCCTGGCTTCCTAGGAAGTTATCTTGGCCCCAAGGGGTTGGGCAGGGCCACTAGGCTGAGGGTTGGAGCCCTACCTCTCCTAGTCCCAGCCTGGGTCTCCATCACTGGCTAGCCCACTCTGCTTGCTGCGTTCTCTCCACACCTGTTCCCTGCAGCCCAGGGGTCAGTCTGGGTGCAGGCCTGGGTAGAGGTTCAGAAGCAGATTCTGTACCCCTGGAGCTCATAACTCCTGTGCACCATGGCAGCCAAAATGCACCAGCATGGCCAGGAGTGGTTGCTTGTCCCTGTAATCCCAGTGTTTTGGGAGGCTGAGGTGGAAAGCTCTTGAGACCAGCCTGGACAACATAGCCAGACCCTGTCTCTACAAAAAATAAAATTAGGCATGGTGGCATGCACCTGTGGTCCCAGCTACTCAGGAGGCTGAGGTGGGAAGATCACATGAACCCAGGAGGTCAAGGCTGCAGCGAGCTATGATTGCACCACCACACTCCAGCCTGGGCAACGGAGCAAGACCCTGTCTCTAAAACAAGAAACAAAGTGCACCAGTGTGTGGATACCAGCTTCTCCTGGTGTGTGGACCTGACCGTACTTGGCCCCATCGGTGAGTAAGAGGCTGCCTGCTGTCTTCCAGAACATTCTCACCACTACACCTGTGTCCCTCCTGCATGCTCTGGCAGGCTTTATGAGATGGCCTGTCACCTACCTCTCTGGCTGCCCTAAGGCCCAGCTAAAACCATACCTGCCCCTGAGAACTTTGTCCTGACGAGTCTTTCCCCCGCCCCCTACAGGCCCCCTCATTTCAGAGCTTTTGGGGGGGTGAGTACAAGGATCAACTGTCTGCTACCAGCCTGGGAGGAATTGTCCCTAGGGTTGGGTCACTGGATGGCATATGAGGGTCTAGACCAGGACCCAGATGCCTGTAACCTGAAGGGCTGGCCCTCAGTTGCCCCAGCTTCACAGAGCCCCTCATCCAGCCTGACCTTCCAGGACAGGCCCGACCCCTGCGTCCTTTGGTCTTGGTCCCTACTGGGAACTCTGGTTACCCTGGCTTACCTGCTTTGACTCCAGAGGTAATGCTGACATCCCCCGTGAGACACAGTGACAGATTGCTTACCTGGCTCAGAGTCACCATCGCCAGGCAGAGCTCAGGTCCTGGCCCTGTTCAATTTCTGCCTGCTGGGTTCAAGTGATTCTCCTGCCTCAGCCTTCCGAGTAGCTGGGAGTACAGGTGCATGCCACCATGCCCAGCTAATTTTTTGTAGTTTTAGTAGAGATGGGGTTTCACCGTGTTACCCAGGATGGTCATGATCTCCTGACTTGGTGATCCACCCACCTCAGCCTTTCAAAGTGTTGAGATTACAGGCCTGAGCCACTGCGCCCGGCCTCCCTAACACCCTTCTAGCTCTGGTGCCCTGCAGGGTCTACTTTGGAGCACCTGGAGCCCAAGAAGCTGCCCCTCACCTTTGTGATCCCAGGGACCCACTCCCTGATCATGATGAAGGCGGACCCAAACCCGCTGTGGTGCCTGAAGGAGCAGGATCAGCCTCTGCCTCCCACGGCCTCTCTGATGGTGAGGATGTTATCCCAGCAGCGAGAGCTGGGAGCAGAATCAGGAGGATGGGGGTTTTCTCTGTGGGTAGCTCTGGGCTCCAGGGTGGAGCTCTTTTAACCTGGTCCCTCCCCTGTGACTCTCCTTGGCCCCAGGCAATGAAAGCAGCTTGCTGGAGGTCACCTGTCAGATAGGGACAGAGAGGGGTCTGGGTTCTTTCTCATCCAGCTGCAGCTCCCCCTCCCCCTGGCCTCTTCCCCCAGGTGATAGAGAACCTGGCAGGCTGTGACCCGCAGAAGAGTTCCCTTTTCTTCTGATGATGGATGGAAACCAGCTTGGGGTGGGAGGGATGAGGGTTCTGGGGGCTCTCCCAGCCCTGCCTCACATTTGAAGGATGGCATCTGGGTGGCAGCATGGTTTAGGCTCGACAAGGTGGCCCCTAGGTTTATAGCCTGGCCTCAGGCAGGATGCTGCCATGCCACCTTCTCTTCTGCGCATCCTGACCTGGAACCCTACCTAGTTAAATGTCCTCAGGCCTCCTGCACCTTGGGCATTGCCCCCACTCCCTGCACAGGCACAGCTCTCCTTGTGCTGGACTAATCTTCAGAGATTCTTGTTCAGCCCACAGCTTTGCTGGACATCACAGGCTGGGCCAGGCCCCCTGCCCAGCACTAATATCACTCTGTGAGTCTCAACCAGACTGAGCTGCAGCTTCAGGGTCAGGGTAGGTGCTGACTTAATTGATGTGACCCAGGATGAGAGGGTTTATTGACGGTGTCACATCTGCTTAAGCTCTTGGCCTCTGTGGTTTCTTTGGGGGCAAGATACTCCTCTCTCCCATGCTTAGGTGCCCACATGTGGCCACAGTGCCTTTCCCACCACCATCCCTATTGGAGGCCAGTGTCCAGGCACCTGTGGCTCCAGGCAGAAGGCTGAGTGCAGAGCCAGGCCAGGGCAGATGTTCTGCAGGGGCTGCAGGAGCTGATAGCCCTGGCCACCCAGCCCGTGGCCATCCATTCCCCTTCACTGTGCTGGCCCCTCATCCACCATCATTCCAGGGGCTAGGCCTGGGGCCAAACTGACTTTTGCCTGCCCCTGGTTCCCCTTCTGCCTGCCAGGTTCTTGGCTGAGCATGATGATCTTGTCCATTTCCTTGATTATCCTCAATCAGAGGTTTATAGAGCCACGTGGGGACATCACATCTCCTGTCTACCAGGTCCTCACCAGAGACAGGACTGCCTTGGCCCGGGCCTGGGATACTCAGGGGTCACACTCGCCTGTTGGGACCTAGCTTCAGCGGCTTCAGTCTGGGCAATGGCCTGATGGGCGGCTGCCCCTTCTCCTCTGCTTGGGGGAGGCAGGAGAGGAAGGTCAGGCAGGAGATCTGCTTCCTGCCCACCTGAGGCTGGTTGGAAGCAGGGCGCCCACCTGTGCCTGTCTCACCTTGCTGCAGGTGCATCGGAGGCTGAAACCCTCTCCTGATCTCCTGCAGGTGCGGATTCCAGGTTTACAGTAGGTGTTGGGGTGGGCTCCAGAGCTCTCCTGGCCCTAGGAAACCCTGGGCTCCAAGAGTCCATGGCCAAGCCAGATTGTTTCCCACACTGTCACCTCCCCAAACATGGGGCTGCATGCTGTGTGCCCTGGGTGGGACATTGGAAGGAGTTCCACCTTCCAGGTTTGGATCACAGTAAAGCCTCTGCCATGGGGATGTGCTGGCTGAGACAGATGGGGTTGAACCAGCCCTGTCACGTTGGCCTTGGGCAAGTCACCTGTGCCTTGCTTCCCTTTCCCCAGCAGCTGGACAGGGATAATAGCACCTATTTCACCCGTACTCAGGTGCTCACTTGTTAGCAGGAACTGAGTCCTGGAGGAGGTGCAGGGGAAGCCATCGAGGCAGCACTGCAGCTGGACCTGGTCTGACTCCCAGCTCCTGGCTGTGAGATGTGTCTCTCCCTCTGTTTATTCATCTGAAGGACAGGGCTGTGCTCTTCTGGGGTCACTGTGACAATGCAGCTGGCCTGTGTGAGTTGGTGGTGGCCTCCTGAGATGGTTTGAGTTGGGCTGGAGGTGTGTCTGGAATGACCCTCACCCCTTGAGGAAGACCCACTTCGGGAAGGCTCATGTGTCTGTATGAAGGAAACCAGGTTCCCTGCCCCTCAGCTGTCCTCTGTCCCTTCCCAGCCCCCTCTGCTGTCCTGCAGGCTCTGGCGGTGGCCATCCCGCTTGGTGGCCATCTGGCTGGTCCACACTTCCAGGTGGACCCTCTCTCCTCACATGGTGCGTGTCCCATTGTGCCACCTCCAGACAGACCATGCTAGCCCCAGGGCCTCCCTTCCCTGATACCCAGCCCCCACCACTAGGTATGTGCCCCCTCTCTAAAGCCCGCTGTGTTCACCAGCTGTGTTTGAACTCTGTCTCTGTGCAAGGCCTCATGCAAAGCCTGAAACAGCCTGGCTTGTAGAGGGCCAGGAGACCAAAGCTTGAAGACAGAGTGACGGTCTCCCAGAGCCCACTTAGCCTGAGCCCCAGGGCTGCGTCCGTGCTGGTCCTGGCTCCAGTGGGCCAATTCTCTCCCGTGACGTCTGTAAGGGCTCCTGTGGTGATGGAGGTGGCTGGAGAGAACAGGCTGCCGTAACCCTCCCTCCCTGAGAAGGTCCAATGGGGAACGTTTTAGGCATCAGGGCATCCCGGGGAGCATCTTCCAGGGACCCCTCCTACACCCTGCCCCGCCCTGGCTCTCTAGTCAGAAATTGCAGTTGCTTGGACAGCGGGGCTGACCCAGGACAAGTGCATCTATTAGGCTGGTCTTCGGGGTGCTGGGGTGGGGGCAGGGGCGCTTCAGGGATAGGAAGGAGAGGCCTGTGTGTTCCAAAAGTACAGAGGAACCTGGTGCCAGCCGCAGTCAACCCCGATGTGATGACCTCTCTACCCGCCCTCTTTGGTATCTTGGTGCTGGCCGCTGTCTTTGGCCAGGTAAGCTCACGGTCTGCGCTCCTGGGGTCCCCTCACTGGGCCTGCCCACTGCCTGCAGGTAGGGGAACCTACAGGCCAGGACTGTCCTTGGCTTCCCCTTCCAGATTGTGGGTTCAAAGACCATTCCTGGGTTCCACCACCACCAAGCCTCAACGGTGTCCTGATGGGCACAGGAGCTGCTGGGGCTTTCTAGGTTAAGACCCTTGCCTATCCCGGCATTCCACCCCAGCTGTAGGGGGGCTGCAGGGCTCAGCCTCAGTCTCTGCCCTGGGAGCTTTTCTTACCTTGCCCTGGCAGCCCCACACCTGCCCTGGAAGACCCCCCACACCCAGTGGCTCTGATCCACTGTAGAGCAGCCAGGACACCCATTACTCACACCCTCTAGCCTGAGGCTGACTGGCATTGTGGCTGGGTTTGGGGGTCAGGGTTGGGGGTGGGCCTTGCCCTTAGTAGCCCCCATTCCCCCTCTGACGCCTTTTCAGTCTTCCTCCTCTTGTGGGCTCTACCCTGGGACCCTCCCAGCTCCTCACACCGGATGACTTTCTAAATATCCAGAAATCACTTTTTAAAATACCAGCTTTGGGGCTAGAAGTGCCTAGAGCAGACCAAGAAGGCTATGGCCAGGCAGGAGTCTGCCTCCCAGATTTCTGAGAAGGCAGAATCTGGGCCCAGAAGTTGCTGTGGGACCAGAGAGCTGGGGCTAGGAGTATCTGGGCGGGCTCCGTGAGGAGGGGAGGCAAGTTTCAGATCAGGGCATGTAGAGGCAGTGAGCCCGAGGGAGGAGGCAGGTGGACAGATGGAGGGAGCCTACAGAGGGAAGGAGGTACTGACTGAGGTCTGGGATGACCATCTCTACCAAGAGGCCCTCTGCCTCCTCCAGGATGTGCAGACCCTGGCGCACACAGTCCCACACGGGAGCCTGGGCTGGCACCACCCTGAAGAAGGTGGCACCCACTCTGGCGGTTAGTGGATGCAGCCTAGTGGGAGGATCATCCCACTTCAGGGGGCTGGGCAGCCTGAGGGGCCTAAGGGAGGTCATCTCTTCCAGCCTTCTGCCCTCAACCCCAGAACCCAGGGCAACCCTGGACCTACCAGAATTCCTCCACCACCACTTGGTCAAAGTTTTGTAGAGGTCTGAGGACAAGGGTCAGCTGGGGGATCAGGAGAGGATGAAGAGGGTCACAGCTCTACCAAAGTCTTTTCCAGTCATCCCCCATCTTCCCGAGGCCTCTTCCCCGACCCGCCTACTTCATCACGCCACTTCACCCATCTCGTCAGCCGCCCCTGAGATGCCCAGAACTCAAGGCTGGTTTTGTCCTCCAAGGCCTTGGTGTAGTGCTGGCCCAGGATCTGCAGCCAAACTTCATACAGCACCAGCTCCGCCTTCTCCCCTAGAGAGATGGGGGTGGAGGTGGCATCAGCCTGCTCTCCCTCTCCTGGAAGCCCTGGGATGGCACGCGCACCCAAGCTCTAATGCTCCATCCGGGGGTCAGGCGCTGCTGGTCTATAAATGAGATTTCTTGCTGCCTGTTTTTGTGTGATGTGTGAGCTAAGAATGGCTTTTACATGTTTAAATGGTTGAAAACATGGAAAGTAGAATCTTATCTTGTGACACATGAGAAGTACATGACATGCAAACTTCCACGTCCATAAAGAAAGGTTTCGGGGAACGTGGCCATGCTCATTTGTTGACATGTTGTCTAGGGCTGCTTTCTTGCTGCAGGGGAGGGTTTGAGTATGTGGTGATGCAGACCCAGTGGCCTGCGGAGCCTTAAAGAGTTTCCATCTGGCCCTTTACAGAAAACGCTTGCTACCCCCTGCACTGATCCATCTAATGGAATATGCTGCTCACTCCGAGAGTTGATCCTAATAGGAAATGTTGCTGATAATCTAACAGATGCTGCTTTTATGTTTTATTTTGTCGCTGCTCTGGTGGGAGACATGTAAGAAAATTCACTCCTTGGGAGGAGGTCATGGTGAGGTTTGTGGCCATCAACGGTGAAGCCTCTTTAAGAGGATGTGTGGGGAGCTCTACCGTCTGCTGAGGGGGTTGTGATGGGCCCTCTGTGTTGAGGCATGAAGAGGGAACACTGCCTGTCTGCTGGGAACTGGCTTCTGGGGAGCAGAAGAGATGGTGGTTCGGGCCTGCGGAGGCAGAGGCCCAAATCAATCTGATCTCTGGGGCGGGCAGCAGGGAGAGTAGCTGTGTAGGAGTGGGTGTGAGGGCAGAGCCCGAAGGAGGACACCCCTGACCACACTCCCAGGAGGCTGCGGTGGTGGGGGTGGGGCAGCACTGTGGGAGGACCAGTGCCTTCTGTGGCTGAGGGGTCCTAGGAGAGCAGCT